AAACAAAATCAAAAATAAACTAAAAATTGTAGTCGATTACCATAATCTCATGACTTCTTGATGTAAAGGTGGCGGAGGCGGAATTGTGTGGGGCCAAGTTTTTCCGAACCGGGATGACAAGGGGAGCTAAAGACACAGCTCTCTGACATGCGATGGATTTTGGCGTTTCGAGGTCGTTTAGGTCCTCAAAACGACATTTTTGCTATTTTAGGAAAGTTCTAAATAATTCAAAATTAATTCTAGAAAATTCGGATTTGAAATCCGCATGTTGGGATGTTTTCAATTTTCGGTATTGTACTAGGTTTAGGAGTTATTTCATTTTTTTGCCTTTTTTTTTTTGGTAATTTTCTCATTTTCCTAGTTTGATTAGGGCTTTTCGTTTTCTTTAGTATAGATAGTTGCTCTAGGGTTTATTTTTCAACATATTTATTAATCAATAAAATTTCTAAGTTTTCTCTCAACTATCTGATGGATTCCAGAGTTATCGTGTTCTATAGAATTAATTCGTAGAAATTAATTCTATTTTTGCTTCCGTTCTACGTCACTTCTGGGACGAATTGTACCAACGATTATACTTGATAGAAATAACATTTAGAGCTGTAATATTTTCAGAACAATAAATGGCTATGTGTCTATCTAAATTTATACTAATTGCATTACATATTCCATAAAGAAAATTATATGTACATTCTCACCACCCACATCACATCCACCACCCCAACCAATTTTCTCATTTTTTTACAAAACCATCACAACCCCACTTCACCACCTTCCATCCCCACCCAATTTCCCCTTATTTTTTTCTTTATAAAACCGCCACAACCCCCGTTCACCACTTCCCTCACTTGTTTCCCATTTTTTTAATAAATCAAAGTTGGAAGTCGTGTTTACTTTACAGTTCAATTATTTCCTAAAATCCTGTCAAAAAAATTGATTCCTCTGCATATAATTCCTAACCCTGACATATAAGAACTAAAAAAAAATCAAAAAACATAATTAAAATATATCCACTATAATCCACTATAATCTAAATCATAATTAGAGTTGAGGTACTTTCTATGTTCTAACTAAATGGATCTTTTCGATGAAAAAAATTAATTGGACTTATTTTAATGGTCTAAATTATTCTTAAGAAATTGTCCTAAATAAAAGGCTTTGATAACATTATCTCTTTTATTTTCTTTTACCAAGCAGCGATTCTTAAAAATTACTTATTGAGCAATACACTTTTCTTACGACAAATTTTCATCCTAGATCACGTGTAACCAAACAAATCCTAGATCTGCATCTATATGAAATATGCACCCAAATGCAATCCCCAAATCCGATGGCACAGTGATAAGCCTCTCAAACGACTTTTCAGTGATTTATGGGGACCTTATCCTGTCCTATCTCACAAATTATATTATTGATTTTTTGTTGATCTAACATACCAAATATATTTGGCTATGCACTCTCGACACCAAAAAAACGTTAATGTTGGAAAACGGCGGCTGAAACAGCAAATAGAAAAAAAAAAATCAACGCCGGAAACCGGTGGCAACTTTTTTTAGGAATTTAAAAATAAATAAAAAGAAGTTAAAATTGGATTTTTTTGGCCAAAATTGATTAAATGGAAGTTAAATTTGGGTTACAATTAGGAATTGGATTTAAAGGGTTGGGGGTAATTTTGTCATATATAATTAATTTTGCTTTTATTTATAATACATATTAAAGGAATGAGCTTATTGACGAAAGTGATATAACCCGTGAACATAGAATAATAAAGATGGTTGGTCATGGAACATATCTTGACATTTGTGATCTACAATGAATTTAAGCTAACATTTTTTTTGTCCGAAGATTGTTTGTTGAAATAAGACCATTATCACATTAAAGTAAAATAAAAATAAAAATAAAATAAAAATAAAATAAGTAATAATACTAATAATAATAATAATGATGATGATGATAATTTAAACAACAACAACAACAAAGACAACATAGAGTAACCTATATTGGATGACTCTAGAAAACATGTTCATTACATAACGAATGAACTAACAAACGACTGTAAAGGTGTATTTCGTAAATATATGCACTCTTGCAATAGTTTGTAAATTACACGAAAAGTGTAGACCATAAAAGACAAACAACGTGTGGTAACTTTTTTTTTTAAAGCTACGCATAACAAGTTTAAGTGGGATAGCATTGACAAAAATATTTGAACTCATATTAGTTGATTAGGTGTTATCTTACTGCACGAAAAGAACTAGTGCAAATCCTAGAAACCAAATTACATACAACTTGGTCAATCGTTTTTTGAAGAGTTAACTATCAACTTGTATATAAATTGAAAAAAAAAATTAATTGCATTTTGATATAATGTAATAAAATCCAATTATTTTATCGGATCTCGCGATGTCTAACAAAAAAAGTACCATAAAAAGCAAAATAAGCCATGATAACATAATTCTGGTAGGTCGATCCGACAATTTATTGGGAATACCAAATATCAAATAAAATCCAATTATTTAATTAATCATGGCTAATATCCCCAACCAAAGGAGGCCTAGCAATGTAGTATTATCTCATTTGATTGATAATATAATCACAATTTATTAAACAATTTGATTTATTTGATATTTGATTAATTTAATAACTTTCCCAGTATATTGCAGAATTGTGTATTAGGCCCCCTTAATCCAAAAAATATATTGTCAAATATCATAAATTTATTTGTTTATTAAATCTTATTCCAAGTAAGAAGAATCCACAGCTTATTTATTTGAAGATTCTGAAATAACTCGCTACTAGGCGTACTATTGTTGTTGGCGGCGGGGCAATGCTACACCCGGAGATAATAATCGGGTGCCTCTCTTATTGACATGTGCCATTTTAATTAATTTTGCAATTCTAATTTTCATTATTAATCTTAATTATTTATTTACTAATTTATAGTTAACAAAATCCCTAAAATTAAGGTAACTTAGATTTATTTTCTATTCCACGACTCCTCTACTTTTCTTCACACGACAAAACATTGAACGTTTCCTTTTGTTTTTCCTCCTGAATTCGACTTCTTCCTCCATTGCTGCAGTTGGAAGAAAATTTTAAAGGTATAGTTGAACTTGTTTATCACACTATGAATAAAAGATTCTTGTTGATGACGTACAACAAAAACGTCATTGGCTACATCATACATCTGAATCAGTTCTATAAAATAGATTACTAATATTTTTTCATTGTTTCTAACTTTTATTATGTAAATATTTAGGAATGGATCATAATTTACTATCTAATGCCAATACTGCGAATATAAGCTCAAAGCAATGTATATCTGCACAATTTTCAGAGTCAGACAATGCAGAGGTACGTAATGAATCATTGGTTGAAGAATTTGAACGCAAATTAAGCGTTGGTCAACAAATGAAAAGTCTTGAAGATACATATTTGTTATATTGTGAATATGGACGTATCGAAGGGTTCAATGTGAGAAAAGGAAAACATGATTACTTTCATGATAATAGTAAAGAACTTTACATGAAGGAATTTGAATGTTCTTGCAAACGAACAAAGGATGAGAAACGTAGTACTAAAAATAAAGAACCGATATACTTAAAGAATGAAACAAGATTTGGTTGTGCAGCAAGACTTAGGATTGGAAGAAAAAAGAATGAAGAATGGAGAGTGACTATTTTTGATATTCAGCATAACCATGACATGGTCTCACCCGACCAAAGTTATATGTTGAGATCGGCTTGTAGTATTTCATATGCTAAAGGAAATACACTCAAAACATTGGTCGATGCTGGATTTTCGATACCCAATGCATATTCTTACTTGCAACAAGAATCACATGGGAGAGAAAATGTCGGTTTTCTTAAAAAAGATGCATACAATTACATTAATCGTATCGCAAAAGATCACAGACAAGTTGAAGATGGTGATGCTGCTGAGTTGATTCGGCATTTTAAAAATAAATCGAACAAAGATATATTGTTCTACTGGGATTTTCAAGTTGACGAAAATAACAGGATGTGCAATTTCTTTTTCAGAGATGGTTGGAGTCCGGTCGATCATGAGGCTTTTGGTGATTTTGTTTCATTTGATACCACGTATAAAACAAATAAATATAATCTGATTTGTGCACCTTTCACGGGCATTAACCATCATAAGAACAATGTGATGTTCGGATTAGCTTTTATGTCTCATGAAACAGAGTCATCTTTTCAGTGGTTATTCAACACATTTCTCGAGTCTATGGGTGGAAAGTAGCCAGAAACTATTTTCACAGACCAATGTCAAGTAATGATAAATGCTATTGAAGTTGTATTTCTGAATTTGCAGCACCGATTGTGTCAATGGCATATCTATCAGAATGCTCCTTCTCACTTTGGTAATTTGAATAATAATTCAGATTTTAAGAATATGTTCCATAAGTGTATGTAATTTTGTGAATCTGAAGAAGAGTTTGAGAATATTTGGAGTAAATTGATTGCTGATAATAATCTTTATGACCATTCTTGGTTAAACAATATGTACAAGTTGAGAAATAAATGGTCTACTGCTTTCAGTAAATATAGATTCAGTGCAGGTCTTAAAGCTACATCAAGAAGCGAGTCCACAAACTCTAGTTTGAAATTTGATGGTAAGAGGACCGATACTTTGTTCGACTGTGTTCTGAGGTTTGAAAAGATTCAAAATGAATGGCACCAAGATGAAAAGGAAAATGGTTTTAAATGTCGTCATGGGATGCCTACGCTTGCTGTAAAAACTAATTGTTTGTTGAGAGATGCTTCTTTGATTTATACTCACACGATGTATTATATGTTCCAGTCAGAATTGATCAACTCGCTGGGCATTTATTTTGATGGAGAGGCTTCAAATAATGACACTTTATTCGTGTTTAAAGTAAAATCTCAAGGAAATTCAAACCGAGTTCGAAAAGTTGAATTTGATTCGAGTTCACATGAAATAAAATGCACGTGTCAATTATTTGAGTCTATTGGTATATTATGCAAACACTCATTGTTAGTTTTTAAACAAATGAATGTGCATAAAATACCTATGAGGTATATAAAAGTGAGATGGACAAAAAGTGTGAGGGACAGAATTCGCTTCAATGAAGAAAGTTCTTGTGCAGATTGCAATGAATCTCAGACAGTTTATGTGAACCATGCTATGAGGTTTTGTTATGATCTTACAATGCGAAGTAAAGCCCATCCCGAAACTAGAAATTTGGTGAGAAGTGGGCTGGAGGGAATTTTTTCAAATCTAAATCCTTTATTTGATAAGTTGGGTTTAGATCATGCAATTAAAAAAAGTAATGATATGGCGCCACATGATTCCAAGATTAGAAGTTTAGATGGTGTGGAAGAACCTAATGTTATAAATGATGAGTTGGTGCTTAATCCTCTTTATGTGAAGTCAAGAGGAGTCAATAATGCTCGATTGTCAAGCCATTGGGATACAAAGAGTAAAAAAAGAAAACGAAATATTGATTCTTCAAGTAAGTTTTTTGAAAAAATCTTCACAAATTTTTTTATTTTGGTTTCATGAAGTTCCGTAATTTTTTTTGTTTGTTTGAATTTGCTAGAGAGGGTAACAAAAAGTGCTTACAAAAGAGCGCAGTCGTCACAAGTGTCTATAAATGTACAACCAAGAGAAGAAGCTTCCAGTGTTTTTCCCTCACAAGGATCTATTTGTGCGCCATCCTCACAATATTCTACTATTTATCATTCTCAAGATATCTCATTTGGCTCACAGCATAGTGAACATCAAGCTAATTGGTTTCGCAATCTGTCATATCCGACAATGCAAATGGTGAGTTTTTACTTACATCAATTTACATGAATATATTTTGCATCTTATATATACTTTATGCATTGGATATTTAGGGACATGGTGCAATGATTAATTTTGGTCAGCCTTCTTCAAGTATGTTCCAATATCGGGATCTTTTGTTGTCACATGTATGCATTGTAGTTTCGCTAGGTTCTGAAATTTCAGTATAATTATTTTGTATGAAAATGTATGTATGTAATTCTTTTGTGTATGTTATACTTATTAGTTATGTTTGATTTCATAGAAATCAACAAATAATATGAATGATAGCAGCAAAGAGAGACCCTCTAATTTTCAGTAAGAATTGTATAGATGTGTGGCGTCCGAATTGCAATAGTTTATGTCCTTTGTTTCTTTGGCAGCTTTGTGTTAGTTTCATTTTATTTTGAAGCTTGTGTTAGTTTATTTCCTCTGTTTTTTTTGGCAGCTTTGTGTTAGTTGTTTTATTTTTATTTTATTTTGTATTTGAGATGAAATTGTGAAGACTACAGAAAAACTGTTTGTTTTTGTCTTAAATGAAATTGTATGAATTTGAAACATTTTAGTTGTGAAATGACTCTAGTTTCTTTCTTTCCTAAAAAATTAAAAATATATGAAAATTCTCATATGAACTAGAATTGCATTTTTCACTTCACTAGATGAACTTTCACAATTTCATTTAGTACAGAAGTTCTCCACAATCCATGAACCACCAAAGGGGCATTGTTACCAATCATTTCTAAAAATCTTGTTGCTTCGAGAAGGTCTGAAAAATGTTCTATTTTAACCTTGAGTAATTTATATATCAAGGTATGCAATGACTACCATGTGCAATATCAAATCAAATATTAGCCCTTCTCTAGTTCTTTTTGGTCAAGAAACACAAATAACTTTATGATAGCCTGCCAAATACAAACTCGAAGAAGGAATTGGAATGAAAAACTTGGGTACAAAGACACAATAAGATTTGAAAATGATAGACTAAATGCTCTGAATCTATACAATACATTACTGAATAAATTCTCACAAATTTTAAACATGATCATATATAAACATAACTTTCACCATTTAGCTATCTCAACTTCAAACAACAACTACAATCCCAACGATTTGGGCCTAACATCGGTACAGAAAAAAAAAAGGCTGCCTCACGAAAAAGTTGTTGGCTTCTACTCTTATGTCCCTCATTTCGCTCTTCGATTCCAGGAAGCAGAGATCCAAATTAATCTTGGCGGCAGATTATTCCAATAAATTTGGGGAAATTCATAAAATCAGAGACCCAAATTAATCCAACTTTCAAGTGAAATAAATGCAAATATATCTCAAATAATCTTCTAAATATTGAGATTTTTGTACGAAAAAAGTGTAAGAAAAACTATTTTTGTGCAAGAGAGAAACAAGCAGAGAAAAAATAGTGAAATAAAGATGGAGGAGATGCGTCTGGAGAGAGAGAGGGGGGAGAGAGAGAGAGAGAAAATAATCTAAGTTACCTTAATTTTAGGGATTCTATTAACTATAATAATGAAAATTGGAATTGCAAAATTAATTAAAATTAATTTAAGTGCCACATGTCAGTAGGAGAGGCACCCGATTATTATCTCCGGGTGTAGCATCGCCCCTCCCGATTTTCGATTATTGAAGATCGAGAAAATCCGCCAAGTTTTTGGAATTAAAAGATTGGCAAAAATTTATTTCCATGTTTATTTTTGGGAATTATTTAGAGTCCTGTGTTTTTAATATTCTTATTAGGACTTTGATTTATTTAAACGGATCTTATTCTAGTTAGGTATCTTTGTACTTATCTAGAATATAGTTAGAAATTGGCTAGGATTGTACTTACCTTGTTTAACGATTTCTTGGAGATCAAGTAAGGATTTGGGTGGAAAAATTCGTGCATATATAAAGCCTCACAAGTCATTGAAGATCTCAACACTTGTATTGGAGAAAAACCTCTCATCGTATTGAAGTTGTGCTAGGACAGTCTGCGGAGAAGGATTGTGCCATAGTTGCGTGTGCCAACATATACAAAGTTGTTGTATAGATCTCGGGAGAGGTCATTCGCGTTTCTGAAGAGAGTTCAGGCTTGAAGAAGGTTCAAGGTTCGCGGAGAGGAGTTGTTGTGGAGAAAACACGAAATTCGAGATGTGTACAAGAACGACGTAAAAATTAAAGAGGGAGTATTTATCATTTTTATTAATTCCTATTAATGTACACTGTAAATCTAAACTAGTGAAATTGTGTTTGCAGGTCCTCGTGGTTGTAGGACACATTTGTGTCTAAACCACATTAAATTCTTGTGTTCTTTTATCTGCTTTTAAGTAGTTAATTACTGTAACAACACGAGAACTATAGTTGCAACATAATACTGTCTTAACAAGTAATATGTCTCAACAGAACGAGTACATTTTCATAGGCATATAAATCAAGAATTGCCATCCCAAAAAATCTATGAAATGTGAATTCAAAAAAAATGGTGTTCAGCTTGATTAGACAAAATCGAAATGAAAAAAATCAAAAACCATTATAATTTCATTTTCTTTGAAAATGTAGAATTCGAACCTGAAACTGAAATCTTACTGTCCCATTAATCGTAACATTTAAATTGATTAAACTCAAGTTCTTTCAATTGGTAAACTTTATTAAAAAAAATGAACACATTAAGCTTAACTTGACAACGATGTATTAATCTTTTTTTTAAAGAATAATATTTTATTAGGCATAGATAGCCAAAGGTTGAGAAAGGATCAATCCTTCATTACAGGTAATTCCAAAATTATTGGCCAAAAAATGAGCAAACTGATTCACACAACGTTTAATAAATGAAAAATAGCAGGATGAAAAACTTTTAGATATAAAAACATACAATCTTCAATGTAAACTCCGTACAATGCCAATGATGAGTGTCCTGTTGTGATATTGGAGAGATAGAAAGAAGAAGGTGGGCCTACGAATAAGGTTCTCACAAGGAGATTTGGAGGGGACTTGGCTTGTAGATTGCTATTATCCTCGTTCATCATCTTTATCCGAATCCATGGTGAACGGTATGTCGATAATCCCAATTATATGATTATGTTCTTAAGATAAATTTGATTTCAAGATTCTGTTATTATGGTTTTCCACATAAAGTTAAATAAAAGTCTTTCAATTGGTATCAAAGCAGGCTTTTGAAATCGATTCATCTTAGAACTCAAATATGTTATACGTTAATTATAGCTTTTTGCATTAATTAAGGCTATCACTCAAATAAAATAACGAGAGTATTATTAGTTTTATATTTATGAAATTTACTAATCTTGTAGTTGCTAAAGTGACCTAGATTAGTAAAATCTTATAAATATAACAACTATATCAATGTTTAATAATTTAGATGATATTAAAGATTATAATGTTCTCAAATTGCAGTCATAATTAAGAAATTGAGACTAGCTCAAAGGATAGTCGATTTTAATTAA